TCAGTTCAGTTCATTCAGTTCGGTTCAGTTCATTAAGTTCAGTTCAGTTCAGTTCATTCAGTTCAGTCCATTAAGTTCATTCAGTTCAGTTCATTAAGTTCAGTTCAGTTCAATCAGTTCAGTTCAATCAGTTCAGTTCATTAAGTTCAGTTTATTAAGTTCAGTTGAGTTCCTTAAGTTCAGTTCAATTCATTAAGTTCAGTTGAGTTCATTAAGTTCAGTTTCTTTAAGTTCAGTTCAATTCATTAAGTTCAGTTCATAAAGTTCAGTTCATCAAGTTCAGTTCATTAAGTTCAGTTCATTAAGTTCAGTTTGGTTCATTAAGTTCAGTTCATTAAGGTCAGTTCATTAAGTTCAGTTCAGATCATTAAGGTCAGTTCATTAAGTTCAGTTCAGTTCATTAAGTTCAGTTTCTTTAAGTTCAGTTCAATTCATTAAGTTCAGTTCATTAAGTTCGGTTCATCAACTTCAGTTCATTAAGTTCAGTTTGGTTCATTAAGTTCAGTTCATTAAGGTCAGTTCATTAAGTTCAGTTCAGTTCATTAAGTTCAGTTCATTCAGTTCAGTTCAATCAGTTCAGTTCAGTTCAGTTCAGGACAGTTCAGTTCATTAAGTTCAAATGAGTTCTGTTCAGTTCAAATGAGTTCGGTTCATTTCAGTTCAGTTCAGTTCAGTTCAGTTCAGTTGAGTTTATTAAGTTCAGTTCAGTTATATTAAATTAAGTTTGTTTCAGTTCAGGACAGTTCAATCAGTTCATTAAGTTCAGTTAAGTTCAGTTAAGTTTAGTCTAGTTCGTTCAGTTCAGTTCAATCAGTTAATTAAGTTCTGTTCGGTTCAGCTCAGTTCAGTTCAGTTCAGTTCAGGACAGGACAGATCAGCTCATTAAGTTCAGTTCAGTTCATTAAGTTTAGTTCAGTTCAGGACAGGACAGTTCAGCTCATTAAGTTCAGTTCAGTTCATTAAGTTTAGTTCAGTTCAGGACAGGACAGTTCAGTTCATTAAGTTCAGTTCAGTTATATTAAATTAAGTTTGCTTCTGTTCAGTTCAGTTCATTAAGTTCAGTTCAATTATATTAAATTAAGTTCAGTTCAGTTCGGTTCAGTTAAATTCAGTCCAGTCCAGTCCCAATCCAAGTTCAGTTCAGTTCAAGTCAGTTCAGTTCAGTTTAATTATATTCAACTCAATTAAGTTCAGTTCAGTTCAGTTCAATTCAATTCCATTCCATCAAATTAAATTAAAATAAATTCAGTTCAATTAAAATAAATTCAGTTCAATTAAATTAAGTTCAGTTCAATACAATCCAATTCAATTCAGTTCAGTTCAGTTCAACTTTACTTCTATGGCTCCACATCCCAACAACATGAATCTCCCAGCTTCCCAAACAGAGCAGCACTAGGAGACCCAGGGAGGGAAAAACTGCCTTTAACAGGAAGAAACCTGGAGTGGAACCATGGCTCTCACCCCGTAGTAGAGCACGGTGAACTGGGACATGCAGTGTGGGCGGCAGAACTCCTCCACCTTCCCCCCGTAATGGCTGCTGAGGTTCATTAAGCTCAGTTCAGCTCAGTTCAAATGAGTTCAGTTCAGCTCAGTTCAAATCAGTTCAGTTCAGCTCAGTTCAAATGAGTTCGTTCAGTTCAGTTCAATCAGTTCATTAAGTTCGGTTCAGTTCAGTTCAAATGAGTTCAGTCAGTTCCGTTCAGTTCAGTTAAATTATATTCCAGTTCCAGTTCCAGGTAAATTAAATTAAATTAAATTAAATTAAATTAAATTAAATTAAATTAAATTAAATTCAGTTCAGTTCAATTCAGTTAAATTCAATTAAATTCAGTTCAATTCAGTTCAATTCAGTTCAATAAAATTTTATTTCTATAGCTCCAAATCCCAACCACAACAGCAGGAATCTCCCAGCTTCCCAAACAGAGCAGCACTAGGAGACACAGGGAGGAAACAACTGCCTTTAACAGGCAGAAACCTGGAGTGGAACCATGGCTCTCACCCCGTAGTAGAGCACGGTGAACTGGGACATGCAGTGTGGGCGGCAGAACTCCTCCACCTTCCCCCCATAGTGGCTGCTGAGGTTCATTA